TCTATGCACACACATTTCTCCATCAAGGCAAGCAAGATGCAATATCAGGACACATTCCAGCCAGGCAAAAAGCACTTGAGGACAGTGTCTGGAGCAGGGCTGGTGAGAAGCGTGGCCTGGAGAGGAGCATGATGAGAAAACATATTATCCACTAGATGGTGCCATTACCATTTCCTTGTAACCACAAATAAAACATTGTTGTGTATAGTGGTTTCAAGGTCAGTTAATCTAAGGACTAGTCTGCACCATTTCAGAATTCACCAGGGACTCAGCTGTACAGCCGGAAATAAAACGTTTTAAGTTAGTTTGTAAAATGCAATATACAAATGTGACACTAGATGGCGATGGTGAGCTATGACAAATTCAATTTCTTTTTCAAAACGTTTTTATAAAAAAGCATTTTCACAGTGTTTTCAGTATGTGTGTAGATACCACCCAGGTAGTAAAAGGCAAAAGGTTTATATGATCTGAAGAGAAAACAGAGCTTTCTTTTTCTTTTTGAAAAGCAAGGATGTTTGATGCCTAATGGTTTTGGTTACAAATAATAAAGGGGGTGGGAAGAAAAATGAAACCAAACAAACATTTCACTTTGTAAGTTGCTTGCTCCTTCCTCTTTTTGCAGGAAACACGTGATGTTTGTACTGACCAAGTGACATACTGGTTTATCTGGAGCTGAAATCTACTTTTCTACTAACCAATAATAACAAAAAAAGTTTTTTTCTAAATAAATTACATGCCCCTTTGCTGTGTAATGTGCATTTGCCATATCAAGGATTTGGGGTTATCCCATTTCCCCCTGCATCTTATCTCCTACTATGTGCTACTTCTCTACATTCCAGAGCACCAACAAGCCCAAAGCCTCATCTTTTCTCCCTGCTTCTTCAATTTGAAAAAGCTTTCCTTATTTCTTTTCCTCCTGTTCCTCAGCTCCCGTCGGTACGTGCTTACTTGTTGCAAGCAGTGTGCGATGCAGTCTAGTAATAATGAAAAAGCAATATGACAAGTCCCATGAAATACAAACAAACCAAAAAAACCAAAAAAAGACCAAACACTCCTCAGCTCGTGCAAGCAGTACATGTTGGAAGATTTGGTGTGGTAGTTGTAGTGTGGTTGCTTATACCAAGTCACTGGCAAGATATTAGAAATAGACAATGTTACACAAGATGCGGAACAAAAGTAAACACATGTGAACAAACTGGATAGTTATGGCAGCACGAAGGGCTGTGGTGCACAAAACAGATTTGGAAAATGTGACTTTTCAGCTGTGTGCAGATGAGTCCTAAATTTGCAATCCTGCACGGAACTGACACAGGCTGATAGATGCAAACCAAGATCGTTCCTTCTGACCCTTTGGACCAAACCACATGGTGTGAATATTTCATCAAAAACCTCCACAAAAAGAAGACCCCTTTTTAATATGGACGTGCACAAGATTTAGCTGAAGCCTGAGCCATGAATAGAATTTGGTCAGTTTTTTGGTGGGGGGATCCTGGTGTCCCCTAAGCTAGGTTGAGGCAGCCACTGATTGCCTTGGGTCAGATGGCCCAGAACAATTTGGTGTTGTCAGGGTGAGGGGCATCAGACAGGAGAGGCAGACACTGAGCAGGAAGAAGGAGAGGTCAGGCAATGGGAAAGGCAAAAGCGTGAGAAGACCTAGGAGAGTAGGGACATACCTGTTTTGTTGTGACTTCACTTAGAACAGTTGTGGTTGAAGGCGAAGGGCAGTGCCCCAAGGAGAAGTCATAGATTTATGAGCAGGAGGGATGCAATATCTGAAAACCAGCAGAAAATAAGGAGCCTGGAATGTCACTCCATGTTGGAGATTGTCACACCAAGAAGACAGACCAGGGTACCAGCTGAGTGGGTGTGCGGCCTCTGATCACATATGCGCATAAGTATGTACATAATTCAATTGTATGCCAGCTTTCCACAGTTCAAACTATGCTCCAGGCAGCTTACAACATGAAAAAATACATGACTGCAACACAACAAAAATAGTCATAAACAATATATTAAACAAGTCCTACATAAATCAAATCTAAATCTAAAATAAAGATACAAAAAACAAGAGTAGCAATAACCTCCCGCCCCACAATAATAATGGAAAATCCAAACAACACCCCAGCCCAAGAGTCTGTTCAACAGTCTCAGCTTGTGTAGCTGGAGTCAGTCAGGGCCCCCACCCTCCCAGGCTTGGTGGGAAAAGGCCTGCAAGGCAGGCAGGGAGCAGGTCTTCCAGGACTCAAAGCCCAGATGATACGGGCCAAGGCTTACTCTAGTGTCTGCATAGGATTAGTCCATCAGTTGCAAGCAGCAATCTCCAAGAGGCAGAAGGGAGCTCTTCAAGTGATTGACTAGAAATCAATGTCCCTAGGAAATTCAGATCACGACTGCTGCTGATTCAAGGAGAGTGGTATGATTAGCACACCGTCAATGTAGATATGAACCACAATCATCATCAGATGGGTCACCAAAACCACCAGGACTTTAGTGAAGATCCTGGGTGTGCCAAGACTGGTATTGGTGTGGTCTACAACTGAACCTCAGGGAGGGGTGATGACGTTGTTCGAAAACGTCTTACTTGGTACTATTTTCACCAACAATTAAGCAACTCTTCCTTTATTACATGAATGCCAGTCAGTGCAAGAATGAGTTAAAGGGTTTGCTAAACTGAAATTAACAGTGAATATGATACATCCTGTTTAGTCTAAGCCAATCTCTAAGCAGGTCTTTTGTTTGCTTTCATGTTGCCCTCCTGCCCGTGTTTTACTTATTTTGTTTGTGAGATTGGCCATGTCTGTTAGAAGATGCTCAGAAGCATACATCACCCAGAAGCAGGAAAGCAATAGAATAGGAACATTCTGGCTTATGAATGCCCACACACCAGTTTGGATATTGTTTGGGGAAATGTAAAATGTCTTTGCCTTAAAATTTCTCCCCCCGCTGAGTGTTTGCTTGCCCTGCAATCAACAGCCACATGATGCCAACCACACTGGACACCAAACAAATACTCAGCTCAGACATGATTCAAGTTTCCAGAGAATGAGTACAGAGTGCTTCAGGGGAAACATCAGCCACCACTTCATAGTTCCCTTCCATCCTTTCATAAACAATGGGCTGGTGGCATTGGTGGTGGAGGAGGAAAAGAATGGTGCCCCTGGGAGCAGCAAGGAGGAGCTTGGCAGAAGGGGAAGCAATTTCCCTCTGAAATGCAGGATGAAGCCAGCATCCCTTGGCTCTGGTGATGGGAAGGCAGACAGGTCAACACAGACAAGCACCCCACAATACTCTGTAGAGCTGAGATAGTGAAGAGCCTGCAGCCTGCCTCTTTATATTCAAGGCAGTGAGTTACAACAAGGAAACCCTCCTCCTACTCCCCCAGTGTTTCATTTGTAATCTGGAGTAAGCATGGTAAACTCTTTCTCTCTTGAAATGAGTCGTTTCCTTTGATGCAGCCCTTTAGTTAGCCACCTGCAGGAAACCTCATCTGCAATAACTGGTTTTGAAAAGGTAGCTGTGGATCGTGCCTGTCGCTCATTCATCTCCATGCAGCAGCTGGATCTTAAACTGCCGGTACGGATAAGACTTTGAGAAGGAACATCTACAGACCTGCCCACAGACAGACATATCTGGTGGTGGAAGGTTTTGCGAGTGGCTGCCTTTCAAACAATGTATGTTTGTCAAACAATACACTCCACACATACCGCGGCAATCACTCAGGAGACCTTCATCCCAGAAAAAGAGAGAGAGACCTCACTAAAATGAAAAGTGGTGGAGGGCCTCTGCAGCATTGGGAAAGAGGCTGTGAGCTGGCAATTTGGCTGGGAGTTGAGGGAGAGTAGTAAGAGAGATGTGCTTGGGAATTGTGAAGTGTGTGTGTGTGTGTAACTGTAGTCCAGGGCTGGCTCTCCCATTGGGCAGTGTGGCAGCTGTCTCAGGTGGCTAATTCTGGGTGTCCTAAAAGGGCAGCAAATTATTACCTTTTCATTTTTCAAAAACAATCTTTTTATCCCCAGGGGGAAATGTTTGTTGGAGCTTCTTCCTCAGAAACCAAAATACCTTGGTCTGCCTTGGGTATTATTGTATCTGAACTGCCAGCCTACTCTGGGGCACCAGCGATCATCATGTATTACCCTGATGAACATACAAAACTGGGCCTGACCTAATAATATTTGGAACTACTGTAGTTTGGAGCAGACAGTTGTTTTATGGATCCAGAGTTGCTGTAAACTCTGTGGAGAGAAGCCAAAGAAGAAAGCCAGTATGAGGACTAGAATGAGATCAGCGCCCAAAAAGGACAGGGCTTAGAATGAGAACCAGTAAATAAATTTTGTGGAAACTTCTCTTTCTCTCAGTTTGCCACAGTGTTTTGCTGCCACCTAGTAGCAGATTTGTAAAAATGCAGGTCATAAAATAACTTGTTATTTTGATTGCTGCCGGCTGAGCAGAATTATTAACGGTTGACTCTTTTATGTGCACTTATGAATGCACATACAGGCTGAAGTAATACAGTCCTTAGAACTTCTGACAGCCTGTCCATCAGTAACAGTTGTTGTTTGCCCCCAAACCTTTTATTTTATCCTTAAGGAATGAGCAGGGCTTCGTGGCAAGCTGGAAATCCAATTTCCTGGGCCAGGGCAGCAAAACAGAACAGGAAGATGGGAGGTGCTGGTTTGGTGTAATGCTGTGGTGGACTAAGAATTCACACTCACAGGGTACACTTAGGCCAGCCACATCTCATAGCCTCACCTCTAGTGCAGAGTTGACACAAGGATAAAATGGAGGGCCAAGAACCATCTACATTGTATTGAGCTCCTTTGAATAAATTTATTTAATAACCTTATAATAAGAAATAGGAGCTTTGGGTAGGTAGAGCTGAGGGAAGTGAGATGGGAGTGACTTGGCATGGTGGGTGCCACATATACACGGATAAGCTTTCCAGATGGTAGTAAGGAACAAAACCAATGGTACAAATAACTTTACCTTTCCACATTATGTTTATAAAACAATATTTTTATTAGTTAGGGTACAGCATTATTTTAAAAAACAGCATAGCATGAATGCAGATAAAAACATTACAGAAGAATGAATCTCCCAGCCTTATATTGCTGTAATAGAGAGAGAGAGAATAAAGCAAAATGGCGAGCTGTAGCTGTCAGCAGAATTTCTGAAGCTATTTTACGACTAGGCTGTCTACACGTCTTCTCTAGTGCTGTAAACATGCAGCTTCTGAAACATGAAACAAAGTGGGATTCTAGAAGATCCTGTACATTAGACTAGTACGAAGCTCAAGAGGCCTGTCAAGTAACGTGCACCTAGTCATAGGACAGTCACCACCACAGTCACATCATGGATGGCAGATAAAGACATTAGGGTGATGGACAAGCAGGGTGCAATTGGTACAAAACATCAGCAGATAAGGGGGCTACTCTGATGTGCTGCCAGCAAGCAGTCTTCTCAGAAGGGGTAGAGGAGGGGGCCTGTACATCTGGGCCCCTGGCTTGGGAATCAATGGTAAAGACACAGTAAACCATTTGGCTGGCACACGAGAAATACTAGCCTAGTCCCAGCCTTTTACTTTAAGACTTAGAATCTCCCAGAGCATCTTTCTTCCAACCTTGGCCTCTAATGCAATATCAGGGCTGTGAATGACATCGCCTTCACTAGTGGGTTGGGTTTTTTTAAAGCCCAATAGTTAACTTAAAGCAATTTCACTTTATTCTAGATACTGTCGAACTCTGTACCCTAGCATGCTCTGCCGGAGGAAAGCCCATACTCCTTTCTCCTAGCAATCAGGACTTTCAAGTCACAAGGCCAAACGTCATACCAATGACATCCATGCTCATATGACATTCAGACACCATGGTTTGTTTTTGAAAAGCTTTTTTATTTTATTTTAAGGAAAGCGTTGTCCCCAGAATCTAACTGCAAATTTTTATGCATAAGGCCTAAAGCAGGGCATGCGTCAGTCAGGCTTGTGAATGTAAAGTCTATGATGCCTATTTGTGTCATATGTGCATCTTTTCTGCATTATCAAACATAGCTATAAATGGCAGGAGAGGCTGGAACACAAGCGAAGTTTCAACTTTGATAACAGCCTAAAACAATGTGACTTATTGCTTAGTAAACATACCTGGCGCACGTGCTGCACGTCTAATTTACAAGGCCTGTATAAGCCACAAAGATAGGATAAGAAGCCTTGAAATCATGTGTTAGATCTGAGTTCTAAAATAGAATAATTCAAAACATTTGTGTAAAAATGGTCTCATCAGATAGCAGTAACTGGATGTTCATGGCTCTTGGCAGTGGCAGTATTGGTAAGAGGGGTTTTTCCAGTAAATGAGACATGACTCTGAAATTAATTCTAACGCAACTCAGTTCTGTAGCCATAGAGTGGGGTTTAGTCATCAGCATTTAATATTTATAAAAGGGTCTACACTGAACAAGGAGCTGTACGTCAAAACAAATGCATAACAAGTCCCAGCCAGGAGTTCAAGATCTAATAATAGCTAGTGATGCTTAGAAGCAGAGACTGGCTTGTTTAGTCAAGGACTGACTTCTTCTCAAAGGCAATGGAATGTCACCCAAAGCCAGTACAACTGACACTCACAGGCTGCAATATTATACAAACTTACCTAGTCGTAAACCTTGCTTCTGAGTACACATGAATGGAACTGTAGTGCCATTTTCTTTGGTCTCCACCAATCTCTGAAAAAAGAACATTCTCAGGGCCATCCTATACATGTCTACTCAGAAGTCCCCAATGCCATTTACTTCAAGGAGTGCTGCTACCTCAGGGTATGTTCATATAGGGAGGAAATAATGCCCCCTTTAGAAGTTTCTAGAACTTAATCCTAAAGCCTATCTGCAGAGTATATGCCCAATTAAAAACAGCCGAGTGGCTTGCAGTGTTTCAGGCAGCAGCAGCAAAGCCTTTCTATCTAACTAAGGGCCCAAAATAGCAACACCACAAGAAAAGAGCACCTGGAGAATCCCTCAAATTCTCCAGCCTTTCATCTGAAATAAGATGCAAGTACATCCACACAAAGGCAAGATGCAGGCAAGGAAAGAAATGGAACACCTGCTGCAAATTACAAAGAAGATATATGTGAACTGCTTGGAACACTCAAGAAAGCACAATGCGTATACAGAGAATTATCAAATTGCTTAGGCCAGTAGTCAATTTCTGCTGAAAACTCCATCACAAATATAAAAACAAAATGCTGTTTCTGTGCTTCCTATTAGTCACAAACTGTGCACTGGAGCAGCTTCTTCAACCTTGTGCTCCTAGGTGTTGTTGGGACTGCAGCTCCTACCATTCATGACCATGGCTGGGGGTTGTGGAAGCTGTAGTCCAACAACATCTGGATATCCAAGGTTGGAGCTGGAACATGTGCTGAGAAGCATTTTTGCATCATTCCTTTCAAAGGGGCATACAGCAGTGGGCACAGGGATCCCTACTTTCTGCTAAAAGGTAGCTGGATGGAACAAAAAATATTTAGAAATGGAAGCTCGGAGTGTCAGAACTTGCTCCAGAAGGGGATGAGGTTGGGCGTCTCTTTGGGCCTGTAAACTGACAAAGGGTCCACTGTCCAAACAGTGCCACTGACCTCACTTTCCACATTCTCTGTTTTCGTGCCTCACCTCTTCCAGGTAAAGGAATTCTGTAGATACCCTACTTGAGGGTCCCTGAAATCCATGAGCCAACATCAGTTCATATAAACACCCAGCGTAATGAATAGGACTGTTTTTGACCACAAGAATCTGCGAAAGCTACTGTGATATAATTCCAAACATCCCAGTACAGAACTCAACACTTTTTCTGGAACTTTTAGGGAATTTCTGGCCCCATTCCAGTATAAAATATGTACTTTGGGACTCCTGTATGGTATTTTGCCTGTTGTGTGTCTGTGCCTTGATAGAACCAAAAATATTGGGGTTTTGAGAAGCCTGAAAATTGTCATAGAAACAGGAAAAATTAATCAGATTGTTTGAAGGTTAAAGGTCTTGCACATAGATCTGTCATATTTAATTTGAAATCTAATTGCTACATGGAGCAAGGATACCACATTGGCCCATGAGGACTATTTGTAGGTGGGTTTGTAGATTTGGCTAACTGTAGGCAGGTGTTTTTTTAAAGGACACTATTATTATGGAGATAACATCATGGAATGAAGAAACACCAATTCCCAAGACTGTAGGAAGGGTTAAAGGGAACACATCTGATCAAGCATCAATAGGATCAGGGAAGCAATCATCCACCGTTTCCAGGGCTTCAGTGTCAACCATGACTTCTCGAAATGCTGTTTCAACATCTTCCTCTGTTTTAGTCTCCAGTGCCAGCTTAGGTTGAACTGTAGGATTTGGATCTGTCTTGTGCTCTGGTTTAAAACTCTCACAGGTCTCAGGGCCTTTAAAGGAAGTACAAGTTAGAATGTGCTATAAAAATGAATTAACATAGTCTCAGACCTCAATCTTTACTATAATCTTCAACAAAGTCTTCATCTCAGCTTTCCTTTTGCTGTTATCTTTTTTAATTTTTGATTTATAGATTTATATCCCATCATTTAAACAGAAACCTCACAAGGCAGTACATGATGTGTATCAGTCAAACAACTAAATCATCATCATCATCATCATCAAATAAGAATGTAAGAAGAATTCACTGGATCAGACCAAAGGCCCATCTTGTCTAGCATCCTGTTCTCACAGTGGCCAACCAGATGCCTGAGGAAAACCCACAAGCAAGACCCAAGCACCAAAGTACTTGTCCCACATCATTTAAAACATAAACAATAACACTAAAGCAATACAACCAAGTGAATGGTTGACAAATATATTGAAACAGCCATCAGTCCCAGTAAAACCTTATAACTGCAACACAATCACAATAAAACATCTCACAAAACTTCGTCCAATTGAAATCATTATGGAAGAGCCCCAGTGTACAAGTGATTATTGTGGAGGAACTCTATATGATTCCATTTGGCCATGTGGGGGCTACTCTACATGTTACTCTACTGTTTTGTGGAATGGCCACCACACAAAAATTGTTGCATGTGGCTTTTAGAGGGTCACCATTTCTGCATCCCTGAACTACACAAATACATTTATTCCCACACAGCTTTGCTCTTTAATAGCAACAACAATGACATAACTGTACCTACCAGGATTGGGGGTGCTGGCAACAAGGGCATCTGTGGTTTCACAGGGGTCTCCATTAGGAGGACTCTTTGGTTCTTCACTGGAAATGGCAGACAGGGTTATCCCCTCATCCTTTTCATCTTCTGTTGGAAAGCATAATGAGAGACTGAAAGGGGGCAAATCAATTAATCAATTAATATGGGTGAGGTGGAGTTTCGGCTTTGTGGGTATTCCTTCACCAGTGCTAATTGCTGTCTACTAAACTGTACCCGGCCTCTCCATAAAAAACCCAAAGCACCCCCAAAAAAATTCCCTGTACAATTGCCATGCTTCATAGAGCAAAATAGCAGGTGCCCTATTTTACATCAGAGGTGGCTAACCTGTGGCCCTCTACTGGATGACATCTCATCTAAGAGAACATTGGCCAGCCAGGCCGAGGCTTTGGGGAGCTGAAGTTCAGCAACATCTGGAGGGTCACAGGATCCCTGCTTTCACCTGTGCATTTGTTTAGGATTGAGGAATTGTTCACATGTAACTAAACTGTTGATTATTTTTATGAGGATGAGCCAGTAAAGGGCACTAAGAGAATAAGAATTATAGGCAAAGAGGAGGAGAAAACTACAAAAATGCATACAGTGAATAGTGGATATAAGCAGTTTAATTCCAACTTGTATTAACTCTAGGTAAAGAAGGGCAAGGTCTCCAGATGGTCTCCTGACGCCCCTTTGGAATAAGATCAGTAGGTCTGGATTTTTTCCCATGGGGATTCTCCTAAACTTCAAGGACAAATTGTGGAACAGGGGCCTCTTGTTCTGGTGATGCCAGAACTGAGTTCTTGCCAGAGGCCTAATCATGCAAGGAGACCTACAAAATGTGACACCTTGATGTCAACATCACCAGCATCATGATTTGTGGTGCCTGTGGGCAAAACTTATCATGGTGAAGCCTCTGTATCCCTTCTGTTCCCATGGCATATTATGAGACCTTTCTAGTTGCAACAACCTACGTTAAGAGGAGTGTAAGGAGTTAGGGTGAAGGATTTTGAAGAAATATTGGGTAGGCTTGATAAGAAATTTGGAAAATAGATCCCGTGGTGCAGGGTCCCTTCTAACAGTTCTATGATGTTATGTGCCGAAGGAGCTGCATACCTAAAAGATAGGTTAGGATCATATGAATAAAATCAGCTAAATGATCCTTGGTCCCTAAAACAAGAATGATGTAACCTTATGAGAAATATACCTTTGCAGAAATGCAGTCAAGTGTAAAACCTGAGAGGCAGGCTGGGATATTGGCAAAGGAGCCATGGAAAGTAGATATGAGCTTTATTCTGGCTGGTTGCAAAAGCCGCCTAACTTCAGAATTGTCACTTTTGTCACAGAGTGTAAGCAACTGCAGTTATAGGAGGGGCTTAGATTCATCTACAACAGGCATCCCCAAACTCGGCTATCCAGCTGTTTTGGGACGACAATACCCATCATCCATGACCACTGATCCTGTTAGCTAGGGATGATGGGAGTTGTAGTCCCAAAACAGCTGGAGGGCTGAGTCTGGGGATGCCTAATCTACAATAACCTATTTTTTTAAAGACTGTAACTGTGGTTACAGGCCCATGCATTGCTTACCTGGGGAGTAAATGGCACTGGACTTAGTAGATTTCACTTCTACGTAAACATGCAATAGGATTGTGCTGCAAAATACAATGCAAAAAAGAAGAGGGGAAACTGCTACTCACCCGCAGGCACTGGAGTGAAATGATGCTTGCTCTTCACGCAGCAGCATGTGATCAGTGAGGCAATAATGGCCAAAAGAAGAGCCCCCCCTCCACACGCTACCATAATATACAGGAAGTGCGGGTGCTGCAGCAGATCTCCTGATTGAAAGAAACAACGTTGTTCTTAAGCAGTAAAGAAACAGGAGCAACCTAAAGACAGGACTCAGGGTCACCACAATGTTAAAGGTGTCTTTGCCTATAATATGCAAGGTGTGTGGTTTTTTTAATGCAAATAATGTTGGTGGGGAGAAGACCACTGTTAGTTAGTAGAATCCTACCAGGCATGGAGAAGTTATGTAAGGATGCTTCTAGACTGCTACTATTGGGGGGTGGCAAATTTAGGTTGCAGTCACACCCATATCATACATTTAAAGCACATCTAAAGCGTATGACTTCCCCACAAAGAAGCCTGTGAATAGTATTTTGTTAAGGGTGCTTTAAATCACTGGTCTTCGGCTGATGGGGAATGAGCTACCCTTTGATCCTTCACCCCTCATTTTACTTGAAATAAAATTTACTTACAAAAGAACATGATTCACTCTGCCTCCCACTTCACTTAGATCAAACTTAAAAAAACCCACTTAAGGCTAGAAACATTCCATTGATACATAATACAGTAATCCACTTTATAGCCTTGTATGCTTTGCTTCCATTTTATATTTTAGCTCCTAGGAATTGAAGTGGCTTTTAGTCACTAATATTTACATTTTTATTATTAAAAAATATTTTTATCCCCACTACCACTGCTTTTGGAAGCCAAAAGGTTCCTGGGCTCATTCTGAATTACAGAGTGCCAATGGGATTTTCCAGACCTGGTCCACTCAGTGTGGATTGCCTGCTGTACCCCACCTATCTAGTTGCAACAGGGCAGCCCTTCCATGAGGCAACACAATTTATGTATCAACAAAGGGCAACAACTTATTAGTTATTTAATTTGTTGTCACTGTATTTTTTACAAAGTAGAGGGATTCTGGGGTTTTCTGTCTCAGGTGACAGGATAACTTGGATGGATGGCCTTGGGGATTATGTACCTTGACTTGGTAGGAATTCATGGCACCATTTCCTGGTCAGCTGCAGACAGCAAAATGTGTTGTGCTGACCCAAATAGGTAGGAATGATCCTCCTTTGTTATGTAAAAAACATACCCATAAATTCAAGAAAAAGGAGGGTCCAGAACAAAAGACCCAGCGCTCAAACCTCCTCAGCCATGGAGCATAGGGGATATCATCATGAGATGCATAGAAACTTATTCAGACAGACATGCACATCACATGAGGAGGCCACTGTTTGCTGATTCTTGCGGCTGCTGCTACATCTCTCTAGGTCTGTAAAGGTTGGAGAGTGCAGAAATAGTTCCCTGTGACTGAGGGGATTGAACTGCACAGTTACTGCACCATAAATATCACAGCCACGCACGACTGCTTGCAGTTAGCAGTCTGTGAGCAACCCATTGACTGCAATCCATTCAAAACATTCAGGGGGCAATAGGTATCCAATAAATTGCATTCTTTGTTTGCTTGTTTTTATTTCAACTGCCTGGTCCAGGACATAGACATTAAAAAGCAAAATACATTGCCAAAATGATGAATGATTTACCCTAACCATGAATGTCAGGTAAAGGAGATTTTATTGTGAGCTACTAATATTTCTGGTTATTTTGCAATGAATATCTAGGCAAGAATCACAAGATGGGGCCAAAATGGAAGCTGAGCCTTGGAGCATTCAGCTAATTATGCTGAGGACTGCTGTGTCAGTTGTGGTGCTGGTAACAGAAAGATTATTACATCAGTTTCAGATGTGTCTCAGTGACTTTTTAATGCTGACAGGCCTATGCTGTCTAAAATGTTCCTTCAGCAGCCAGTCATTTTAATGATTGCTTTGCATTGCTATTATTTTTATTTTACTTTTATTTTGTCATAAACTGCCCTGATGTTTGTGAGATGGAAACGTGTGTGTGTGTGTGTGTATTTCTGGCATACATATTCAAATATGTTGTAAGATGTATTCAGACATGTTTTTCCCACTTTAACATTTTCATTAAGTTTTCCAATATACAGAGGAACAAGAAAAATATAAAAAGTCCCCCCCCCAAAAAAAAATTCATCACAGCCTGGAAGAAAAAATGAGAATGCTGTATGGAACAAAGTAAATAACAAACCATCATTTTTCAGAGGGCCTTTCACCAAAAGTCTTTAAAATAAGCATGAAAAGGGGAAGAAATACCCTCCCTTGTGTGTCTGTTAATTATATATTAAGGTCCAGAAATTAAATTTACAAAATCCCCATATCTGCATATGCAGGTGGGACCAAATGTCCATGTTCTTTCAGATTTGTGTATAATATAAAGTCATTCCACATGGCAAAGTAAAGGTCACTAGTGATTTGGCCTCCCATTAGCCCCTGTCAGCATGGCCAAAGGTCAGGGATGATGGAAGGAGTTGTCCAACAATGTCTAGAGAGCACCCAGTAGGCAGGGGGCTGCTTCATGAATGAAGGAAAATGATTTTGTGTTGGTGAGTCAGAGAGACAGATCTGCTGATATATAAATTCAAATAACACGTTGAACACCCATAAAAAGAAGATAAAATATAACTTACGATCGTTACCACCATTACATGACAGCTCAATGGAGGAGCTGCTGCAAGAGTTTCTTCTATGGCAAGCGAGCTTTCCCTGTACCCCTTTCCCCAAAATAATGCTCTTGCCACCATCTTTCTCACAAGCATCAACATCATTTATTCTTCTCCCATTCCGAGTCCAGTAAACTCCATCATTGAATTGACCATCTGCTTCACAGGACAAATTTGCTCTTCCATCAGGTAGACAATTGATATAAACAGCTGGAGGCTTCTCTAGGCAGTGGAAAGAGAACAACAAAACAGAGAGAAAAATGTTACCATGACAGGACAGTGGGAACCATCATCTGAACCTTTCGTTTTTTTCATTTAATCCCCTATTACCTCCTTCAACTATATATAACATTCAATGGATCCTAATGGATTTTTCCTGCTGTTTGCTTCCGGAGAAATTGAAAGCTCCTCATGGTCCTTGTAAACAGACCTGCTCCTCTACTAAAATTTACCATCTTCTAAATTGGGATTCCAGGAATCTTCGAAAGCAAATCACATGGACTGCAGGTTCCTATTCACTTTGTTTTTAGGGGTAGCAGCCCAAGGGCAGGTAATTAAGGTGTGATCCTGTATTGAAAATATAGCACAGAGGACGAGCACACTTATGTTACTTCAATCCGTTGCCATGCCCATGTCAATCAAACTGCCTTGCCAAACCCTCAACTTCATTATGTGTTCACCATCAACTTCATCATGTCAGAAGCCACTAATGGTTGTGTGAAGTTGGTTAATATTAGCTCCAGTCCAAAGAATAGGAGTCCTCTTGTGACTTGTTGAATTCAAGCATACTGGAAAAAGATGGGGTGGTTTTGTTGTTGTTGTTGTTTTCCAGATCAGAACAAATATATGGAAAATCTGGGTCACAATATAGAAGCTTGGCAAAGGAATATTTCTGGCAAAAACATTCCCATACAAAATGTGATTCTTGCAATTCAAGCATGCATTTGAAGTAATGAAGAAATTGGTGTTTCCTTCTCCCTCTTTGGCAAGTTGTATCTTTGCTATTTAAAACCCACTTACGTGTGTACCCAAAACACCGTTGCCTTTGCTACAGCATTTGCAGTTCTGCCTGTTTGCCTTTAGGTGGCACTTAAGAGTAATGTACTTAAACACTTGAATCATAAATACATACCTTTCTTATGGCACTTTCTTCTGTTTTAACAAACTGATCCGAGCGCGTGCAGAGCCATCGTGTGCTTTTATTACACTAACCAGAATAAATTAGCTCCCTCCTTTAACCTGTTGTATACCAACCCACATCTTTGAACGAAACCTACACTCCCATTGATCAAACCCTGTTTAAAAGGGATGCGGTAATTGTGATATTTTCCCAATGCAGTGCTTTAAGGTTACGAAATTAGAAGGCATCCGACAGCTTTAATATTTTTATTCTTGAAATATACTATGTTGCCTATAGCCTCAAATTTGAATTATGGATGGAAACATTTTCACAGATTTTAGATATCCCAACTGACAAATCAATTGCCCGACAGCCCAGCCCTACTGAGTTCAGGGAAGGGGGTGGTCTTAGTCCCAGGTAAGGATATCTAAGATTGCAGCATTAATGTTGGAAAGAGCCTTTGCATCACTGTAGCTCTTTGTCCTTAAAGGGTTTAATTGTTTTCTGCTCATTGTGCAGCTGTTAAAAGCCAAGGATCCTCTGTCCATACAATATGGAGAACATACCTACCAATATTCCTCAGATGAAAATAGGGACATTTCTCATTTGCCCTCCTCAACCTCCCATTTTTGGACCCCCTGGCAGAGATTTCCTATCAGAAGAAGGGCAAAAGGGAGCCCATGGAGGGGACAAGCACCAGCTCCTCCACCTCCTCCTCCAGCTTGATGGTGGCAGCACTGACAGGGGAAATATGGACATTCTGGGATCAAATCAGAAGTTGGGATGTCTTTCTGAACTCCAGGACTATCCCTGGAAAATCTAGACACTTGGAGGGTATGTGAGAACCTCAGAGTACAGTGGTACCTCTAGTTACGAACTTAATTCGTTCAGGAGGTCCGTTCTTAACCTGAAACTGTTCTTAACTAGAGGCGGGCTTTCGCTAATGGGGCCTCTTGCTGCCGCTGTGCCGCCGGCACACGATTTGCAATCTCATCCTGAGGCAAAGTTCTCAACTCAAGGTAACTCTTCCAGGTTAGCGGAGTTTGTAACCTGAAGTGTGTGTCACCTGAGGCGTTTGTAACTCGAGGTACCACTGCACTTGGGTACTCTGAGGCAGACTGAGGGCAAAGCACATAGCCTTATTATTATTATTATTATTATTATTATTATTATTATTTTCACACAGTGAAATGAATTATCTGAAACACTTGCGACAAGAACAAATTAAAATTTGGCATACCACAAAGCAGTTCACTTAAGGGAGATTTGCAATGCTGTGTCAAATCAGCAGGCCTGTTTGCTACATGCAGCATCTGTCAGGTGGTGGTAGTTATGAATGACAGCTGAGTATGAGAGGTGATGTCCATTGGCCTCTAGAATAGTCTCCAACTGCCCCCAAAATGCCAGGACTGTCATGAAAATCCTTAAGCCATCATAGCTTCTCACTTTGTCATGTCGAGTCCCGAATTCCCCTCTTTACTGAGCTACACTAACTGGAAATGGCTTCACTTTGGTGGAAGCAAGAGGAAGAGAGAGTTGCCAACTGAGTCACTTTCTCCTCCTCCTCCTCCTCCTCCTCCTCCTCTGCTGCCATGTCCTTTGCCTCTGGGAGTCTGAGAAAATGGGGAGCAGTAAGAGGGAAGAGTCTTGTGCCAGATCCAGGGGAGGGAGCCAGGTAGATCGGGTGGCTAGCTGGTGGAGGAGCAGTAGCAGGAAGAGGAGGAAGGAGGGAGGCAATGGAGATGACAACGGCAATGTCACTACCATCCATGTCCTGGGAGGTTGTGACTCTCAGCCTGGCAGGCCCCCAGTCACCCAGCCAGCCAGAATAAAAACAAGGAGAAAGTGTCAAGCCTGAAGAGAAGGTGGAGGCTGAAGGAGACCCAGGCAGGAGCAGGCCCTGGGGGGGCGGGTGTGCAGCTGGTGGTGTACAGGCAGCCCAGTGCTAGGCTGGAGCTTCAGAGGTGGGGGCAAGGAGATTATTGGGGTGAGGGTGGGTCCTGGAGCTAGGTGGGTTTCAAGTGAGGTTGTCTGTCTCATGGAAAACTTTATTAAGAAATCTTAACCTGCACAAAACAAAAAAGTCCTCCCCCTCCCCAGCAGTGATATTGAAGTACAGTGGTACCTCGGGTTACATACTCTTCAGGTTACATACGCTTCAGGTTACAGACTCCGCTAACCCAGAAATAGTACCTCAGGTTAAGAACTTTGCTTCAGGATGAGAACAGAAATCGTGCTCCGGCAGTGCGGCAGCAGCGGGAGGTCCCATTAGCTAAAGTGGTGCTTCAGGTTAAGAACAGTTTCAGGTTAAGAACGGACCTCCAGAACACATTAAGTACTTAACCCGAGGTACCACTGTAGAATAGAATGCCTCATTTTATCTGAGGCATGTTGGAGGGTACGCTTTAGTCATTAGGCTGTGACTCTCCAAATATTGCTGGACGACAGCTGCCATCATACATGTTTTTGGCCCTCCAACATAAGCTGGAGGGCCACAGGTTCCCCATCTGTGTTTTAGGCTAAATATCACTGAGTTTAAGCTTAAATTAAAGTGCACTTATTTGTGGATCACTAACTAAGGCTGCATGCTTCCTTGGAAATAACTCCCATTGAACACCGTCACCTATTTCACCTATGCTTAGGATCACACAGTGCGTTTGAAGCAGAACCAGCAATTAATCAACCTCTTAGATTTTGCCATTGTCGATTCCAAAATGAGGATGCTGACCACAAGGAATGGATAGAATGATGTCAATTTCAGTTTCTCTCAGCTACTCGTTTTTCCCATCTTAAATTTAGTGCTCTATATTTCCACATCAGTTTGCCAAAGCTTTCCGAAAAGTCCTCATGAAAATCGATTGGCATGTTGATACAAATTTCTCTTTTGGGTAAGGAATTTCTGCAAGCAATTTCCCCTGATATGCCCAGTTTTGCAAAGCAATTTCCCTGAACACAGAGTAGTTTTGTATGTTGATTTCACTAAAGATATGAATATATTCTAGTATATGCACTTTTGTGCATATACTACCTGGCTGGAGACCTGCTAAGCTGCAAATGAAAAGAAGTGCAGGTTTTGAAGGATGTCTGTGTTTTGATTCATACATTGTTTCAGAAAGTGCGGATTCGGTATAAAACGCAAACAGGTATTAGATGCAAATGAAATCAGTTCCCATGTAAACTGATTCCAATTTCTCCCCCATCTCTACTTACCACACACTTTGAGCAAGAAAATTTCGCTGTCATTTCCAAAAGCAAATGTATATTTCCCCTCATCGTTTTCTGATAAATCCGTCATCTCTACAATCCCGTTCCTCAGGCACAGCCTTTTGTCACAATCATTGCAACAGTCCATCGTAACGTTCTCCGGCTTAGAACAGTTCGTTTCTTTCATTACTAGGATGCCACTTCGATTTTTAATTTCCAAAGGAAAAGAAACATTGCCACCAGCGTCGCCAAAAAGCTGTTTGAGGTCCATACAAGTCACACCTGCAACAGTAATAAAAGATTTAAGTAGTTTTTTTTTTAAAAAAAGCAGTCTATAAACACTATTAAATAAATAAATACATATTGAAAACCACAGTAAGTCTAATCAAAGAGGTAACACTGTGGTCACAGAAAAAGATGAGCAACCTCTCAGTCGAAGAAAACATATGAGAACTCTGTTCTTCGTTTTTTCCCCTTTTTAGCTCATAGCTTCATTTTATCTGAGTGAAAAGTCAGGGTGTGGGATGGAATCAACTCAATATTGGTTACTAAGACTGAAAGCCTTAATTCATGAAATAGTGCCGTTCATAATTTTATATGAGTGCTGATCCTTTCGAAGGATACTTGATGAGCCACTGCTGTAAATAAATGACCTAAATGTAGCTTTTAATTCAGGTAACATTTAATATATTTTTACAAGAAAGTATGTGGTTTGTCGGTTAAATAAGTGATGTTTTTCATGTAGCTTAAACTGTCACCCATAGTGTGTATGTGTTTGAATTCATTACTCATTGGCCTCAAAAAACGTTAAATGACTTCATATGGTCCACAGATTTATACTGATTACACCATAGAATGTTTAGAAATGGAAATAATCCCCACCTACTTAGTAGTTTAAGGAAAAAAAGAATCTAAGCAGTGTTTGCAAAACTGGATGAATTCAGGCTAGCTACTTTCCCTCACTACAATTCACTGTCTCCAAAATCATGCACAGATATTGAAAAGGACTTGGAGTATTGTTTTTAAAAGGATTTTAAACTGGAAACCTATGTACATTAGACTTGATTTCGAGATGTTTTCATCAAGTATTCTAAATTATTTGTTCAAGGTCACGCCGAGAGACAAGAAAAGAATCCCGGAATCATTGTGTTGACCACCGCCCCGCAACCTCTTATTTCTCTTGCATTTACAAATGCAGTACATCAGGTGACATGGTTGCAATTAGTTTATGAGAAAATCTGTCTTACTTTGGAGTGACTGTCCATTTTCATGCTTTGGCGGTTATGACACTAGCATTTCCCTGAGTCCCGTCGACTAGCCTTCCTTTAAAGGAGAGGGGTGGCGGGGGTGAAATCTGAACGAAGAGGATCATTTCTGCTCACCTAGGCAAAGCAATGCCAATTTGATAAAAGAAAATTCCCACTTACCATCAGAAATGGTCAGAATCACCAGCAAGCATGGCAAGGGAAAAGAAAAGCGTAAATCCATTTTAAGCACCTTCTTGCATCGTGTGCTGAGAAGAGGATCTGGCTTTGCTGTTAAACCAACGCACTAGTCAGGAAATGATGTCAGAAGCAGGAATTTAAAAAAAGAAAAGAAGAAGAGCATATACTGGAGGGATGCAAGACTAATGTACAGTCAAAACAAAGCAGAAGGGTGTTTGGTTGACTGACCTCATGCTTTAGCCACATCACCTTGATGATCTATTTCTATGGCCCTGTATGCAGGAACTGGGGTGTGTAAGAATAAGATTCAGAAGGAGTGGTGAAATAGTGCTCTAAGCAAGCCCATCAGAGCCAACAGGACAGAGTTAGCAAGAATCCCAAGCAAATCCTGATATTGTGCCACTTTTTCCTATTCGTTGAAGCCCTTTGCTGACTGATATAAACATGGGAGTGCCAAATGCAAGGCAACATAAACGATCTAATCCCACTAACACTAATCTTAACTTAATCATACTGAGTTGTATTCAACTACTGTATGTCATACGCAGAGGATGCCCACTGAAATCAACTAACTTTTACCCAGAGTAGACCTATTGAAATGAGTGACCATAAAGAAGTTAGGACCATTCATTTCAATGGCTCCACTCTGGGCTGGCGAGGTGAATCCTGCCCAACCGAACAAGCTAGATTCAACCAACTGAAGTGGATTCAGACCAAAAGCTGCAGCACATATCGGTAATGGTTGTGTGTGTAATTACTCTATATGCTTTGAGCATCAATGATAGCTCAAAGAATTCCGTACCTTTGTGGATGGAATCAGCAGGACAAGCCCCAAATGCATGAGGTCTTCCTTCTGATGACAAATATTCAACCATGAATGAACTATGCTGTATATGAAATTAATCCAAAACTTTGGCCAATTTAGAAAAGTTACAAATATGGCGCTCTATGTTAACTCAATTTGATACAGCAGCAGTATAGTACAGTGGTACCTCGGGTTAAGTACTTAATTCGTTCCGGAGGTCCATTCTTAACTTGAAACTGTTCTTAACCTGAAGCACCACTTTAGCTAATGGGGCCTCCAGCTGCTGCCACACCACCGCCACACGATTTCTGTTCTCATCCTGAAGCAAAATTCTTAACCCGAGGTACTATTTCTGGGTTAGCGGAGTCTGTAACCTGAAGCGTATGTAACCCGAAGCGTATGTAACCCGAGGTACCACTGTAGTTGTAGCATACATGTCACTGTGGAAGATTATCATGTTGCAAATACCTCTGATAATACTTTGCAGATCCTCACATATGCCTCAGTTGAAAGGGTCACAGTAATGGCTCCATATGTGTGTGCAATGCATGTGTTATCCCCCACCAGAAAAGTGCACTCTCACAAGAATGGCCAGGCCCAGCTTCACAGTCAGCATTCTAGAGAATTCTGCCCATCCCCCCCCCCAAAAAGCTACCAAACTCTGTCTCTACAGGGTTGGCTGAAGGTCAGGATAACTATTCTGTCTCTACCACACGCACATACAGTGGGACGGGGGAGGGGAACCTCGCTGTGATCTAAGATGGGACAAAAATAGCCTTCTGTGAGAAAGGCAGTGATCTGAAACTTCAGACATCTGCAGGCCAGTGGAGAGAGAGAGAAAAGACATCTGCAATTAAGAAGTCACCCATGGGTGCACTTGCCCTTTATATATATTTTTAGACCAGAACCGTGCAACTGCAACCTATACGTAGACCCCACCATCCTGCCCTAAGTGAATGCACCTGATTGGGGAAATGATCTATATTGCATCCAATAATAATTCTGAAAAGCAACAGAGGAATGAGGAAGAAACCAGCTCTCACCATTTTGGAAACATCAATTTTAGGCTACTATTTTTCCCTGGTCATTTCAATGTGTTCAATATACATTTTATTCATGTTGCAAGTCAGATGCTAAGTCGGCACTTTCTCTCTCTGAATTTCACTTTCTCTGTCCTGGTTCTAGACTTGCCTGGTCTTCTTCCTTAATTTCCTCCCATGGCCCAACATATCAGTCTACATTACATATGTATTTCCGCCTTCCTGGGATTGTCTCATCCTGGCATTCTTTACAGCCTGACTCTTGCCCGGCATCCCTTTGCAGAGGAATCAGGGGAAGAACCTTGAGAAGGGGATGTCGAGTGAGTGGTGGAGCAAGGGCGAGACTCCAGCCAGGATTTGAGGGATACCCATTGCCCTCTGGTGAGCTTCCGTAGCAGTGGTAGCAGGCAGCAGCAATGCTCCAAAAAGCGCTGGGTGGGAGCTCCCAGAGCGGTGCAGAAAACTGTCGTTGTAACTAGGTGCTGACATTTGGAGCACTGGACCCAGAAGAAGAATTAAGTGGGTTCCAGGGCAGGTGACAGCAATGGGTCCTACCATGGTGCTGGGGCCCCCAACACTCGCCCAAGGATTCCCGGGACCAGTGCTGATCGTGCCTGCAGTGCCTTAGTTATCCTGAATCTGGTGTCCTCCACATATTGTTGGACTACAATTCCCACCAGTCCCAGCCACCACATGCTGGAGGACAGCAAGCTGATGTTGTGCAACACAATTCACTTACCCCTCTTGTGCAAAACCTTTCTCCTGTCTCACGTTCACCATCATCAGCTTGATCACCCAGTCAAGTCTATCGCCTCCTCCACCTCCAAGTCTATCACACACTCCCTTTGGTCTTCCTCAGCCTTGCATGAAATGGTCAAGGTGAGACCACTGAGGCAGAGAAACATGAAGGAAGCAGTGTGTGGCCAATTCATCTCACAGTCTTCCTTAGTCCCTGCTTGACTACCATCCTAAGATATGTATCCTGGGCTTACTCTAGTTCTTAGTGAAAACCAGGTCACCCTACCCCCCCAAATACTTCTGAGGCAGTACAGTGCATCCATCTGTCAAGTTTTGAGCTCTCTGCTCCACGCTTTTTTGAGTTCTTGTTTGTTCATTCCTTCACTTATCACATTTATATCCCACATTTTTCTCCAAGGGGCTCAAGGTGGCGAATATGGTTCTCCTCTCCATTTTATCCCCGTGACAACCCTGTGAGGCAGCTTAGACTGAGAGGCAGCAACTCTCCCAAGGTCACACAGTGAGCTTCATGGCCAAGTGGGGATGTGAACCCTGGTCTCCTAGGGCCTAGTCCAACCCTCTATCCACACCACACTGCCTCTCACAACTGTTGGAGCTCAATACTCAGTTGCTGCGAAAGAAATCTCCACTTTATGAAGCTCTTTCATAGAGAGACGCTTTATAAAAAGGAGTGGGAACTGCCAGATGCAATTCTGTTTAACACTCTGAATAGGCCTCAGCAACTGCGCTTTGCATCTCCTTGTTAACTTTCCTTCTGGGAATCCTGTGTTGTTTCTCACTCTGCTGCTGAAAGGTGGGGTGTTTGGCTGGCAGGTTGCTTGAAAATCTGCATGTCTGTCTACCTGGCCAGCCAGATAACAGAAGTCGCTTTTGGGTGGATTCCAGCAAGGGAAGTGAAACAACCATGCTATCACTTTCTTTGAGATTGAAAGTGAGAAGCTACGGATGATAAGATTTCCCCAGTTGCATTTCATTATTGTGGGCTGACTCTGTCTCACACTCTGCTCTATGGTCTCATTTCATATGGAAAATTTCTAATTAATTTTGGGAATTGCATGTGCGTAGTTTGTCCTCGTTCATTCATGTTAGTTTCTCTCTAGCTACATGATCCATGCCCATAAGCTGTTGTGCACATTGAAACTTTTTTTTAGTTTGTGACTGAACATGAGTGCACATCATCTGAAAAGCTGGGCTCAGATGAAAGTGAATGTGCATTGCCACGTACATCAGAAAGGCATACTCTGTATTGACCTTCTTGAAAGAAGGTTATGATTAAAATGAAAAAGGTAGTGAATAACCCAAGGCAGAGAGAGACATTACTTAAACACAAATAAGATTTATTGAGAAAAGAAAAACAGAAATTCGGACATAGGAAAATCAAAGAAACATAAATTATCTGTTTCCTAATGAGTTATGCTACAATCCTAACCATTTCTACTCTGACACAAGCTCTATCAAGTTTAATGGGACTTATTCCCAGGTAACTGGGGTTAGTTAGCATTAGCCATGAATTATGATGAACAACTTAAAATGTGTAAAAGTTCACACAAAGTACTGGGTGACAAGTCAGGGGTTGAAAGCTAAGAAGCGCAATCCAAATAAGCAAGAAGGCTCATACTAGATTTCCAAGGGCAACATTTACAGTTTCAAGATGGCGGTTATTTTAGTTCACCTACCTTTCGATCTGATGCAAATCTGACAGGCAAGTTAGCAGCTTTTACGTTCAATGTGACTATTTATATGGTCAAAGGTGGCCTAAGACCACAGTCTGCAACCATAATTCTATATCTTGGTCATTAATGAATGATTCTGAAACACTTTATACTTACAGGTTTAGTACCTAGCAAGGGGATGTGTGTTTAGTTGTGGTTTAGGCAGGAAGGAGAGTAAAAGCCAGTCGTATACAGATCTATTTTCAATTTGGGCTGAAACGTTTGCTGTGAACAAGTCAGCGGAGATTTTTTTTTTTAGAAAATAAACTTTTGCTTTTCAGTGCATACACTTTTAGTAACTAAATTACAATAAAACATGTTCATATGTCATTATATATATATATATAAGATATATCCACTCCAGTCCTGTTGCAAAAGCATAGCTTCAGCTTCTATAGTCTTGGATTGAAAGACTATAGAAACCTGAAGAATGACAAGTCTAGAAACTCATACCAACAGCAGTTTTAATAATGCATCCGCAATAGACATAGACAAGGATTAATGATCAGGGACAATGCAAGAGGGAAAGTTGGATGATACACAATACAAATTAAACATTGCTTATTTTAATCAGAACAATACAATACAGTTGGGTCTTAACAAATTACTACATATTATTGTATCTCTACATAAAACTCACCCCATTTGCTAGCTATGTAATGACAATTTGCTGAAAGAGCAGTTTCTCATCATGATGAAGAGGTAAAATGGCCTTTTATTGTTTCATATTTGCGATATTAAAATTAGTAATTAGGTTAATTTTTTTACATAAGCGCACTTTGAAAGCCTCTGCCTAGCTACTAAATGAACTGCATCTTCTGACAAATGAGATAGCGTGTTAAATAGAACTTGGTCTCAGATGATTTCAGAATTCCATTGTCTCTTTTCCCATCATACATGTGTGCTGGGTCACTGGAAGAAATGCATATTTGTTCTCTTAATTCCATTGCATCATCAAACCTCTCACAGAACACAGTCCACAAGATCTGGAAGAACACAGCCGCCTTCCCAGCAAACAGAGCTGTCACTCCTCAGTAGACTAGCACTACAACTCCTGACATTCATACACAGTGCTGGTGATAAAGCGTTTTCTTTCTCTGAACAGAAAAATAATATGTATTCAGTCATACCTCGGGTTAAAGTTGCTTCAGGTTGAGCGTTTTTGGGTTGCACTCTGCGGTGACCCAGAAGTAACGGAATGCATTACTTCCAGGTTTCGCCGCACGCGCATGCGCAGATGCTCAAAATGACGTCACTTGCATGCGCAGAAGAGGCGAATCGTGACCCGCAGACGCACAGACACGGGTTGCGTTCTCTTCAGAATGCGAACAGGGCATCCCGTTCACATCCAGAGGTACCACTATACATCAATAAGATATTTCTCACCCTGTGGTCTCCAAACTTTCCCAGCTTTCCTGCATTGCAGGGGTTTCGACTAGATGACCCTGAGTCCCTTCCAACTCTATGAGTCCTCCTAAAACACTAAAGTACTGATCTCCCTCTGTCTAAAACTGGGATGATGATGAAGAAGAAGAGTTTGGATTTGATATCCCGCTTATCACTACCCTAAGGAGTCTCAAAACAGCTAACATTATAGTGGTTAAGAGCAGTAGATTCGTAATCTGGGGAACCAGGTTTGTGTCTCCGCTCCTCCACATGTAGCTGCTGGGTGACCTTGGGCTATACACACTTCTCAGCCCCACTCACCCCACAGAATGTTTGTTGTGGGGGAGGAAGGGAAAGGAGAATGTTAACTGCTTTGAGACTCCTTCGGGTAGTGATAAAGCAGGATATAAAATCCAAACTCTTCTTCTTCTTCTTCTTTCCCTTCCTCCTCCACAACAAACACTCTGTGAGGTGAGTGGGGCTGAGAGACTTCAAAGAACTGTGACTAGACCAAGGTCACCCAGCAGCTGCATGTGGAGGAGCGGGGAAGCGAACCCGGTTCACCAGATTACAAGTCTACTGCTCTTAACCACTACACCACACTGGCTCTGGATCTCCAGATGTTGTTGGAGTACAATTCCCATAATTCCTGATGGCCATGCTGATGAGGTCTAAAATAAAGAGTTAATTTTATCTGTACAAGACTTGCCAGAGCCAGCCCACAGATGTGGTGGGGTTGTGCTTCTGCCTCAGGTGGCAGAAGTACCAGAGGCGGCACCCCATCTGCCCCTCCACTTCCACCACCACCAAATTTCAATATGAGAGAGACATTCCAGTGTGCAGTGCTGCCACTCACTGGGTGAAGAGGAGGGCATTTCGGAGGTGGTGGAAGTGGTGGGGCAGGAATGGTGCAGGGGCGTGGCAGGGGCAACAGAGAGGGGACAGGAGACAGCACATTCCCATTTCACCTCACGTGGTGAAATGGGATGTGCTGCCCCTGAGACTTCCCTATTTTACCACAGCCCCAACTGACATCTGTGCAGTGATCATGCTGCAAATGCTGGACATTTCTGCTGCTTTCACTGTATAGAGAGAAATTCCACCTAGTCCAGCTTTCTGTCCTCATAGTGTCCAACCAGATGCCTATGAAAGGCCCAGGAAAGTGCTGTTGTGCTCAAGTAATTCTTTCAGGCTCCCCACAGGGATCAGGTTGCACACTATGGGAACAAAACTTCCAAAAATTTTGTAAGTGTTCCCAAATTTCATGGAGGCTCGATCACAGTTAAGATCACTTTCAGCATATTTATATTTCAGACTTAAGCTGGTTTATCTGCTAGTCATTCTCCTTCCCCAGAAACCTGATGTTCTAGGAAGATGGTCAGAATAATCAGAGAATCCTCAGCACAGTTCCCAGAAGGCTGTGGGAGTGTTAAAGTAATATAAAACCTAATATGTTTGCAAGATAGGTATGTCCTTAGACATTTAGCCAAGCAGTACAACCTTATCTGCCTATTGCCTTATAATTAGAAAAGTCCTCAGGATGCTCAAGAGATGCTCACAGCTAAACTATTTTAGATAAAAATGTGTCCTTCCTGTCTGCAGTGTGGTTCAGTTTTGGTCACTTACCTTGAAAAGTAGAGATATTTAAAAGCATGGGGTTTTCTGTGTTGGGAGCTGCTGCTGTTGCAGTCTCTTTTTCATTCCCAATCGAAAACCCTTGACCTTCTTCTGTGGTTTCTATAGCCTGTGGTTTCTGTAACTCTGGACTTGCAGTTGCTGAGCAAGAAAGCAAAAAGCAGAAAATACAACAACCATGGAAAGTAAATGCTGGGTTAACACAACATTAACATATAAGCATGTTGTAACACAGGAACAAACAAAATTTACTAAGTATAGGGGGAACAGGTTTTAGCATGATTACACAAGGTTTCTGGGGCTCACTCCCAAGTAAGTAGCCTTTTCTGAAGACCATAAATAGAGGATCCAAAATCTGCCTTAGGTCCTTTGTGGAGAGGGGAAAAACAGATTAGAAACAACAACAAGATGCTTGGAAAATGTAATTTGTGGGACCTCCTGATAAATACAAAACCATAGTGGCCTTTTTCTGTGAGCATGTAGCTCAATGTAAGCCAGGTCCATAAGAGGGCCAAACTAGATAGGACCTGGGAGAAATGTGTGAAGCATTTCCTAACTGAAAAACTTGAATTGCAGGGGTGGGGTGCCCCAAATTTTGTCAAACCAGCTGCAGTGGAAGGGAGTGATCAGTTCCCCCATCACAATCTGCTAAAAACCACCCTCTTGTATCTGCTTTTTCCCCTGTAGGGAAATTTTGAGCCAGTTTTGACTCAGAAAACTACTCAAGATAGTAAAGTGTTTTCTCCCTCCTGCTACTGCTCCAATTACATTTGGAGGCAACAAGGGTGCATTAAAGGAAATTGTTGGAAGATACTTGTTGTGCCTCCAGCTCGGGTCTAGTTGGACCCTCAGTTGCCCCCTAGGAGATATCATCAATTTGTCCCTTGGCAGCAGGTCATTCCCAGGGGAACTGAAGGAGGCAGTGGTGTGCCCACTCTTAAAGAAAACATCATTAGATCCTTTAGATCTATCCAATTACTGCCCGGTTTCGAATCTTTCGTTCCTGGGTAAGGTAATTGAGAGAGCGGTTGCTGAACAGCTTGGTGGGTTTCTGGATGAAACATCGACTCTGGATCCACTCCAGTCCGGCTTCCGCGCTGGTCATGGGACCGAGATGGCTCTGGTCACCCTAACAGATGATCTCTGCAGGCAGCTGGATTGAGGCAGGTCGGGGCTGCTGATTCTTTTAGACCTGTCAGCAGCCTTCGACATGGTCGATCACGAACTCTTGGACCACCGCCTCGCTGACGTGGGGATCCAGGGCATAGTCCTTCAATGGTTGCACTTGTTTCTCTCTGGTCGAGGACAGAGGGTGGCGCTTGGGGGGGAACTGTTGTCATGCCACTCCTTGGTGTGTGGAGTGCCGCAGGGTACGATACTCTCCCCGATGCTTTTCAACATCTTTATGCGCCCCCTTGCCCAGCTTGTCCAGAGTTTTGGGCTGGGCTGCCATCAGTATGCTGATGACACCCAACTCTATCTGTTGATGGACGGCCATCCTGACTTGGCCCCAGACACACTGTTCAGATGTTTGGAAGCTGTGGCTGGATGGTTACACAGAAACCAGTTGAAGTTAAATCCTTCGAAGACAGAGGTCCTTTGGCTGGGTCGGAACAATATGGGATTGGGGGGGCAACTCCCAACTGTTGCAGGGGCGCAATTAGTGCCAGCACCATCTGTTAAGAGTTTGGGTGTAATCTTCGACACCTCCCTTTCCATGGAGGCGCAGATTGCTGCTATAACAAAGGCAGCATTTTTTCATCTCCACCAAGCTAAGCAGTTGGCTCCTTACCTCTCTCGCCCTGACCTAGCCACTGTGATCCACATGACAGTCACCTCCAGACTTGATTATTGTAACCCACTCTACGTGGGGCTGCCCTTGAGACTGACCCAGAAACTCCAGCAGGTGCAGAATGCCGCGGCGAGACTCCTTACGGGGTCATTGCCATGGGATCACATTTACCCGGTGCTATACCAGCTGCACTGGCTCCCGGTGGAGTACAGGATCAGGTTTAAGGTGCTGGTTTTAACCTTTAAAGCCCTATATGGCCTAGGACCCTTGTACCTACGGGACCGCCTCTCCTGGTATGTCCCACGGAGGATCATACGGTCTTCAAATAAAAACACCTTGGAGATCCCGGGCCACAGGGAGGTTAGGCTGGCCTCAACCAGAGCCTGGGCTTTTTTTGGCCGTGGCCCCGATCTGGTGGAACACAGTGTCACAAGAGACTAGGGCCCTGTGGAACTTGACATCTTTCTGCAGGGCCTGCAAGACAGAGCTGTTCCACCAGGCCTTTGGCCAAGGCACAGTCTGACCCCCTCCTTCGGTATTCCTCATAGAACTCTAGCCCAATGGTTGCCATTAATTTGATTTTGAATTAATTTTAGAATGCATTTCAATTAATTGATTGTGATTTTATGTAACTGTGTTACTTTTATTGTGGTTAGCCGATCTGAGCCCAGCTTTGGCTGGGGAGGGCGGGATATAAATAAAATTTTATTGTTGTTGTTGTTGTTATTGTTATTATTATTAGTGTATGTGCTGCACTAGAATAAACCCTTGTGACCACCAACAGTTGCACTGAATTCTCTCGAGACAGCAGACATGATATTTGAAGTTCCTTCTCTATGTGTGTGCAATCCCCACCACCACTCTGCCCCAATACCAGCACTATGCATCACTGCATACACCTGTGGTTAAAAACAGTATCGCCAACCTCAATGAACACTTTCTACTGCAAACTAACATCTCACACACGGTCTCATTTCAGCTGGTTTTAAACATTTCTGAGGATGAACAAATCCTTACATCAACTACCCTTGCAGCAATCTTTCTTCTATAATTCTACGTTTTGATTTCTAGCGGCTAACACTGAATACTGTTCAAACTCCTTTACCGAAATTGCTTAGGGCAAATGTCCCAAACAGTTGGAGCACCAGTTGGGAGGGTGTGGAGTGCTGGACTTGGACTAGGGAGAGGTGGGATCAAGTTATTGCCCAGTCTAGGTGGCCCATGAATGCTGCCTGAGCTCCTTGGAAGAAAGGTGGGCTAATGTTTAATATGAATAATAATAAGGAACAACAACAATTTTAAAAAATAGCAACAAGAAGTAGCAGTTGTCATATCAGACCCATTAAAATACCAGTTTGCCCATGTCTTAAGAACTTCTGGAGAGATGCTGTTCCAAGTACTCTCTTTAATTGAGGTATGCTACTCTTTAAAAGAAAAAGAGGGCTTTTTTCTGCAGTGCCTCCTCAACCTTTGAGTGCCTTCTCAAGGGAGACATGACTGGATCTGGCATGACAAGCTCTCCTATTTGCTGTCCTATTTGCTCACACACGTTAGTTTGGGGGAGTTAGGGAGGGAATGGTTTGTTTCTGTTTTTAGCTTTTGAGATATTTGTTTTGTTTCATTTATGTTTTGTTAAGCTGATTTGCTGATTTTAAGGTGTGTTGATAAATTGTCCAAATTAATTATATTCCTGTTTTTGGACCTGGCTCTGGAATCTTCTGTTGAAAGACGGTTGAGAAATATTTAAAATAAAAATAAAAACTTAAAAATGAGTCATTGTGAGTCATGATTCACTTATATCTATTGAATTCAGTGGTCTACTCTGAGTCCGCGGCAATCCAATGACAAATAAACAAATAAATAAACAGCGGCTGCAATGTTTCAGTGATTAATTCATTAGACTAATGGATTTTTAAAGTATTTTAATTTACTAAAAGAGTGAATCAGGAAGCATATTTATTTATTTATTTATTTAAATTGGTTCTTTAATGCGAGTTACCGGTACTTATTAAAACTGTGGGTGGCAAGCAGGAATGCCTCTTCGAAAATGACACTTGCAATGGCATATTGGGGGGGGACCCAGCCTGTGGGCCTAATTAGACCTACCATGCCTCCTCATTTGACTTGCAAGGCAGTTTTTGCCCAGTCAAGATCACCAGCTCTACGCCCAATTTATATGACATCACATATGGGGCAGTTCAGGGCATGGCTGGACTGAAAGAGGGGTTGCAACTTACTGGCCCATCTGCAGAGATGGAGGTGGCTGCCCATGGGAGGGAGGGAAGCACCAACTTGCAGAAAATATGGGGTGCCCCCTAAATAATGCTCCACAGAGTTGGAGCATATGGGACCAGCAGTGCAATTTGATACATGTCAACTCAGAGGCAAGCCCCACTGAATTCAGTAAGACTTTCCCCCAGCAAGGTGTGTGTAGGGTTGCCACCTAAAGCACATATGGTGAATCAAGTTGCCGTAATTATAGTAATAAACAGCAGTTCAGATAGAAGACAGTGCTGCCCAATGAGAAGATATGGCCCATTCACTCGCTGAATTAGCTTTGTATCTCAGAGTAGACCATGACATTACCTTCTGTTCATGATACTGTTATAGGTGGGGGGAATTCCACCCACCCACCCCAAAAAAAACCCTAGAAATTAATAAATGGTAGGAGTCTGATGATTTGGAGTATTGAAGGGAAGATTGGAGGCCTGTGGAAAAGTACAGGCTAAGCTTCCTTCCAGTCACCTGGGATAGAGGCATTAACATGAGAAAAGGTATTGCTGACCCATCTAGGAAGGATCTTGGGCCTGGGCAGATAGGCAGAGGTTGCCATGGTGATGGGGTGTGTATCTGAGGTAGCACACAAAGAGAGTCTTTAGAGAAAGGTGTGCTGGGAAGAAGAAGGGAAGAGCAAAGGGGGAGATCCATCTTGGGCTGACCGGGAGAGATGCCTTGCACTCCAGTGCTGCATTACTGTGGGGAACAAGTAAGAGCTGGACTCCCTCCATGCAGACTGAAGGTGTAAATATGCAAATAAAACAGATTTCTTAAAGCAGGCCCCACTACAGCTTCAATTCTCCAGAGGAGCTCAAACCATCGGTGAATGCCTGAAACCCCCTGGAATCTTGCTACTGCTTGGCAGAGAGTGGGGATGCCGAACAACCATTGTAAGAATATGCACAATTAATACTTTGTTGGAGTGGAGTTTAATTTATAAGGAAGGAAAACAGGCAGAACCATCACTACTTTGAGGTGAGTAGTCTCCAAAACAACCAAAAATCCTTGCTTCCAGAAGCTGATCGGCAGTGCTTCAGAATGTCCTACTTATTAAGTGGCACTGTTCACATGAGTATTCTGCTCACTGAACTGTTAAATGCACTTGGTGGCAGCAGAACGTAGTGTATGAATCACCCCATAATGAATAACAAACTAAACTTGGCAAAGATGCACCGACACGACCTAAATGCAAGCACAGTAAAGAAGCTCTGATAGCTTTCTGGTTTTTTATTTGTCTTTTAACTGGCACGTAAAACCATAAGAACTGCGGAAGAGTCTAGCTAGCTCCAATGAAACAGATTTATGTTATGGTCTATGTATTCTCTTCCATTTATATCCCATCTTTCTTCCACCCTGAATCCAAACATACATGTGGTTGCAGGAAGTCCCCAGTCCAGGAACCAACCAGAATTGAATTTCATATATTAATTTAGGCCTGCTTCACAAATCATGCTAACACAAACTATGTGTGAGTGTGGAGGCTCCCAAAGAGGAGATCACTGCCGCTTTGCTTCTCATCAGTTGTTTGGCTGCTGCACCAAACTGGGAGAGCTAAACCATGAGCCTAGGTTTGTAAAGCACATCAACCCATACCATGGAGTTGGAAAATAATTTTCCCTCAAGCACAACTGGCCCAAGACATTTCCCTCCCCCAACCCCAGCAGCTGCACTATAACTCTATAATATACATGTGAGAGGCATCCTTTGCAAGAGCTCTTGTGTACTGGAAGGTCATAACTGTTGGATCACACACGGCTTTGTTGGTGGCCTTCAGCAGAAACTTAGGTTGCAGTGCAGTGCCAGACTGTGGGAACTGGAGGACCCATGGCCTTCTTCTGTAACATATGGCTTGGCTCATTTCTCTCTGTTGTCTAGAGCTAAGGATTCCCAACAGAATTTGCTTCCTTCTGCTTTCTGCTTATGTGGTCTAAATTATATAGACCAAGCTTGAATCTCACCTATTGGTCTTTGGGTCCCTTTCTTCTTATAGTTCTTTGAACCAACCCCTGAGGTATCTCCAAACCAATTTGTTCCGGACCCGCACACCTTGATTTGCAATAGAAACCTATCACACCAGAACCACCTTTGTTTGTTGTCCTCACACAATTACCAGGGAGAAAGGTCACACTTTTATGACCTCCTCCTGTCCTGCCCTCAACTGCAACATACAGAGGTCTCTAGCAGTTGGACTCCACAATCACAGTTCTGGATCCCATGGAAGCCTAAACACATAGAGATTAGTGTACACTGGTTTGGCAGCTGTAATACTCACATTGGTCTTGCTTTCTCCTATAAAATACTGCATAGTCAGCCACATTCTTTCTCCAACTTGCACGGCGTTGTCTTCTTGTTTTCCAGAGAACTTAAACCATATAAAATAAAAAGTGTGGAAATGGTTTTCAGTGAGAACTGAAAGCACACATTACTGGTGCCGTAGTCACTCCTAATATCGCCATCATCTCCTAATTTCATTGCAGGGGTGCAGACACAATCCCATTTCTTTCTTTGCCTTTTCTTTCTCTAGAGCAAATGACAGATGGGTCCGCTCCCTCCTGCCTATTACAGCCTTTGTGAAAAATGGCACAGATTTTAAGGGAAGCTTAGAATAAAGTCTTTCCCCAGAGGTAACTGGCTTTTCATCATATGTATACTGAAGAACCCTCAACCTGTTTTCTTTTTAACAAACTAGCTTAGCACTACTTAAAACATGGCCTGAAATATCCGTTGGCAACTTCCTCTTATCAGGGACCCTATGAAAGCTAAGAGGGCAGGAGGCACATGCAAGAAACGGCGTGTGCGTCAATTAATTGCTCACAACCCATCACATGCTCATAGCCTTTCAATGCTGGCAGAAGGAAAGGCAATGGATCCAATTATTTGTGTTTTCCCTCTTCAGAGGTTGAGTCTTGGTGGCTACAGATGGGGGAGTTCAGTTCACATTTAAAGGCAAATCTATTAAATTCACAGAAGCAGAATTCACAGGTCCTTCCATCCCCAAAAAAGGTAATGAGACAGGGCAGATGGGCTTGATGATAGTATCTTCACCTCTTAAAAAATATCTACAGTAACTTGCTTTTTTAATGCATGCATATACTTGCTATCAATTAAGTTCACAGGCCTACTTAGTACACTGTGATTCATGTTAGTTAGTAAGCAAACAATTCAACAATGCCAGCAATTCCAAAGGGGATCTTCAGTTGAAAATGTCTTACTTTAGACTCAAGGATGTGGCTCTCCCTGGCATGTGCCAGAGGGTGGCAGAAGTGAAGTCTGCATCCTGGTTTTAACTAGTCACAGTGCAGGGGACTGAAAGTGACACACTGCCCTGACACACTCACTGCAGCCTGATAAAAGATGGCAGGTCGGTGTGGGAGAGTGTGATAGCTGCAATAGCAGCAAAACACACACACACACAAACAGAGGGGGGGAACATGGAGAAAGAATTATTGACAAGTGCACAGCATTGAAGGCCAGCTAAGAAGCAAGGAGGGAGAGAACCTCTGTCCCAGCGAAGCTGCTAGAAAATAATATTAATTGTGAGTGGGAGACGGGGGAAACAGAGAGGAGAAATCTGCAGCTACAGAGACAAAGCAGAGGCAGAGTGAGAGAGATGTCAGAGAACAGCTGTGAAACTTCAGTAGAGAGCCAAGAAAAGCTGAGAGAAGTTGTATGGGCTGCTGTAATTAGAAACACCTGCATGAAACCTGGAGCAAGGAACCATTCCAGGTCTTTGAGGCCTCCCGTGTGTTGTGGGGGCACAGGGGCTCTTACATGGAACAGGAATCCTGACACACAATGTGTTGTTATGTCCGAACCAAGAACTGCATTCACTTCAACAAACTACAGTTTAAACTGAGCCAAGGTCAGAAACCGCTGTTTCAATAAACTATAGTTTGGCCCTACCCATAGTTTGGCCCAATTCAGATGTAACCAATTATGGTCAGCTTAGCTCAGGAAGCAGATGAAGATCTCTTCCTCTGGTGCATGTTGGAGGAGGGCAGAGGACAGGAGGATGCTTGAGTCCACGTCTTGAGTAGGCTCACTCCTATTATGCTAAAGTATAGTTTAGCATTATGTCCAAACAGGTGTTATATGCTGACCTCCATCTTGTGGTGTGTGTGTGTGTCAAAGAGAGAGAGAGAGAGATCCCAGTATGCTTGGCGTGCTTGTAAAAAAAGGAAAAAGATCAGGCTGCACATGGATTTTCACCACCATGAGATGAAAAAGGTTTTATTGATAAAGTAAAAGAAGGAGTTGCATTAGACAACCATCGGTACCTTTTGAGTGAGCTTCCCCCATTATGGTAAGCAAGGTAAGGCAAGGAAAGATTACCTGGCTTCCTCTTCCATTTTCCAACATGATATATACATGAGCCCAATATAACGAGAAAAGCTGCAACAAGAGCTCCTTCTAAGATGAAGAAGATTAAATGAGGCAAACGTATTGTCTTCTGTGGATTAGGTTCTAAAATTAGAATGCAATTGTGAAAAGAATTACCTATTTTAACTCACTTCTGACAGGTAGTTTTACAAAGAGCTCTATTTGTACTTTTAATGACATGTGGCACTGTGTAAAACATTAATATTACCCTGTCAATTTATTTAATCATTTCAATTAACTACCTTGTGCTTAACCTTTTCATCAGTTAACCATGTATAATAAATGTTACATGAACTCAACACAGCCTATAACTTGACGGGGGCGAGGGCAGCACACAAAACTATGTATTGTCATACATTGCTTGAAAATCAGCTTCAGTCTTATACAAGCTTTCCTGGGAATAAGCCCCACTGAACTGAATGGGGCTTACTTCTGAGTAAGCATGCATAAGATTCTAGACATATCCTACCAACTCTACCAATTCTAAAATCTTTTCATAAGGAGCAATCTTAGTTAAAACCAAGTGAATCTGTTATCAGACTGAGAAATACTCTTAAGTCTTTGTCAAGCCACTAGCCCATCCAGTACAGTACCATGTGCTCTGATCCATAGCAGCTTTTAAGACCTCAGAACAATGCCTGCTACTTGATAGCCTTTTAACAAGGGTCTTTCTGCATGCAGAAGTATGTACTCTACCATGGAACTATGCTTTCTTCGTACAATACGGACAGCTTTGTTAAATATAATTGTTAAATGTGCATGGAATTGGGGGGTGGGGGGAATCTATAATGTGCCTATACAGTGGTACCCCAGGTTAAGTACTTAATTCGTTCCAGAGGTCCATACTTAACCTGAAACCGTTCTTAACCTGAAGCACCACTTTAGCTAATGGGGCCTCTTGCTGCTGCCACGCCGCCGGAGCCCGATTCCTGTTCTCATCCTGAAACAAAGTTCTTAACCTGGAGCACTATTTCTAGGTTAGCAGAGTCTGTAACCTGAAGCGTATGTAACCTGAAGCGTATGTAACCTGAGGTACCACTGTATTGCACTGTGTAGCATGACTAGAAATTCCCACTGAAGCTGAAGAAGAGCCCAACAAGTGAATCATGACGTGGGGATGTATCTCTGTGCCTCGATCACAAGTTGTTTAGCTCACAGTCATATGAAAAGGATTGTATTGCAGGTCTATACATATGCTAATCTGTAGGCATCCATCTTGGGTGGGGTGCTTTCTTTGTTCCAAGCTACTGAAAAGAATGGATGTGTGAATCTCTGTCTCCAGCAAACAACCTGAGACTAATGGAGGCAGCAATGAAGGAGAGACAGAGCTTTGATTTCTAGCTCAGAATCCAACATATTTGTAATCTAAGATATTATGGCTTCTGCTGAGAGCAGTGTAAAAAATATGCATCTAACTGAAAGTAGCTTTTATTGTTTTAAGTTGTTTGGAATTAAGTTCTGTAAGTAAAGCTTCTGAGCCATATTTTGGCCTGGAGAATATTTATTTCAATACAAGCGTCAGTTTTTATTCATCCAGCAGATTGCATATGTGCAATATTAATAGTCTCAATAGGGTTTCCTGCTGAAACATAACTTGGTTTTCATTCATCAGGTTCTCCCTTATTACATGAAGCAATACCTAGCACCTGTAATTCCAGGTCCTTTTTGATACATTGTATAAGGAGGGGAAAATAATCTCTGCTAAACTATGAAAATCATTTTCAGTTTTAGCTGCAAATCAACATTTCTAACAGTTTAACAGTGAATGAACCCAATTTCTGTTGTGCCATTTTAAGGGACAGTCTACCACACTGTGGGCACATACTTCACAAAAAATTAAGTGCCTGTAGGTTCTGTTGATTACAACAGAGCAAGTCAGTCCAATTGGCTTAGCATGGCCTAAAGGTACATAATGTTGGCAATAGCATTAATAAAAAAAAATAGTAATATCCTTCTATTCAGTAAAATTACCAACCTTTTATTTGGAGGTCAGTGTTATTGTACTTTACTAAAGTATTTGCAGCAGGCTCTTGTCAAACAGAATGTATGAAAGATATACAGTTACAACAAAATTACAGTATGTATAACTGTTCCAGTGGTTGGCTTGGCTATTACACAGATGAACCTTGTAAATACTTGCTACTCATCTTAGAACATGGGAATGCCCATCTAATACTCACGTGTAAGTTCCAGTTGAATTGTGTGACTGTACTGATACACACCATCCTTGGTAAACACTTCTGCTGTGTAGTGTCCGATATCCTGCACATGAGTGGGACACAAGCTCAAGCTGCCATTGTTAAGTATAAGACATCTCTTGCTGCCGTCTATGCAAGTTGTAATATTCTGGCCGTCCACCTTTCCTATTGTGATATTGCCCTTCTTCCAAATCACATCATGAAGGTGGATGGCTTGTTTCGTGATCTTCATCTCAAGGAGCATACAATCACCAAGTGTTCCTTTGGTGAGACTAAGCTGCAGTTTGGATTCTGAACACAGAGCAAAAATATAGTGGACATACAGTTTACTTCGATCCTCAAAAATGTGTGCATTAAGTAGATTTGAAAGAATTTTGAAAACTGTTATTTCACTGAATTAAAATATTTCAATTTCAGGGGTGCAATTCAAATTTCATCCATGAAACTGAAAGCAAAGTAGTAAATGCAACTCTCAGGGAGCTATTCGATTTGAAAATTATACTAGAATGCCTTTTAGCTGCATAATGTAACTTCTCTGCCCTAAATCCGCTCCTAAATGTGTTCCTCTAACTCTCCAGATGTTTTGGCTATTATACAGCTGAATGCTGCAAATGCATGGCACTTATTTTATAGGAGTAGCACACAGTCCCTTAGAGGGCCTATCTGATACTTACGTGTAAGCAGCAGTTCCTTTCCGTTACTGTATTGAATGCGTCCATCCTCAGTATATGCTGCCACTGTATAATACCCAATATCGTCCAACTGAGTGGGACACAAGCTCAAGGTGCCATTGTTATAGATAAGACATCTTTTGCTATGGATTGTACAGTTTGCTTCATTCTGACCATTGATCATCATCCCAATCAAGGCATTGCCTTTCTTCCAAATCACGTTGTGAATGTGGATTGCTGGGTTCCTGTTCTCCAGATCAAGGAGAATACAATCACCAAGCGTTCCATTGATGAGGCTATCCACTTTGGATCCTAAGCATGTCAATAAGATGCAATGGGAAGACATTTAATTCATTAACACCCAAATTGAACAAAGCATACCAATTCATAAAACTGTGATTTCATGAAATCAAAATGTTCAGATTTCAAGAGGACATCTAAAAATTTCAGACACAAAACACAGCACAAAAGCAAATTCAAATCTCCATAGTAAGACATGGCTGGTAGAATTCATTTCCCAGCTGTAATCAACATAATTTCACACTTTTTCAGAAGTGAAATATGACAGCTTTTAATATAGAACATCCATTTTTAGCATTCTTATCTGACATAATAAATCCCAGGAACGTTTATACCCAATATATCTTTTGTTTCTTTCCTTGTTTAAAATATTTTATCTCACTCTTCAATTATTCCAGGGTGGTTTACAAATTGCTCTTAAAACAGTAAAGCACCAATAATTAATATCTATCCTTTCATTGTAAGTAGTTGCAGCAGCACCAGGTTTTATCCAATTGGATTCAAAGAAACCGGGAGTGGATTGTTCAAAATGGTGGGTGTAGAATGCCCTCTTGAATCCAGTAATTGTGCCACTGGCTGCTTCTTCCAAACAGTCACTGCATGTTGAAATAGTCAACCCAGACTCAAGTTTTTCCAAGCTTACAGATGTGCCAGTATGGTGGGACCACCCCCATAAAATGCTGAAATCCCATTAGTATGCAGTGCTGCCCCATGGAGGCTGCAACTGTTATGGTTGGACACAACTACCTATCTACATGCTCATCTGATCATGCCATAAATAAGTTTAACCATGAGTCCCCTCTCTCAGTAAAACATGTATAGAAAAGGGGGCATGAGCTCTGGCAAATCCTCTTTACCACCTGGTTAGTCACATGATTGTGTGTGCACAGTGGGAGATAGCCAGCCACTGTTCCTGCAATACACTAAATTATTATTTTACATCCAAGCAGAGTTCTATGATAAAAGAGGTTTGCGAAATTTCAAAATGTTGGAAATGGACAAGAGCTGTCTCAGCTAAAGAGACAGGTAAAAATACTTGAAGTAAATAAATAATAGGCCATTAAGTCCTACTCCTTGCCACTGGTCATGACTCTCCACACACTAGCATCCTGACCCCTGAGCAGTCCTGACCCCTGAGCTGACAACAAGCAGAGACCAGACTCAAAATGGACAAAGAGATAAATATCTAAAATGTTGTTAAACAAGCTATATGCTCTCTGTAACATGTTCCCTTTTCCAGGCAGTCTCACCAGAGTATTGACTTTTGCGTGGAAAATCAGCAGATTCATCCAAAGCCTTATTTGCTCGCATGCCATCACCAAAAACTGGACCAGAAATATAAAAATAATAACATTAAGAAAAGCTGCATATCAAATGGTTCTTTCCACCATATGAATAGATAACCATAAATAATACTACAATCTTAAGGCAGAAATGTATTAGTTTTAGAACATGAACCTGGAGGGCAATATTCCTGTTTCCTGGTTGCCTCCTCATTTTGGAGTTGACACAAGGCTTTGGACATCGGCATCTCATGGACCAGTATGAAAGCAAGAATGCTGGACTGGATGAGAGTTTGGTCTGATCCAGCAAGGCTCTTCTCATAGTTTTATGTAACTATTAGAGACCTTACAACCAGCTCCAGATTTTCTTCCATCCCATCAGAATGACAGATGTGTGGACTTTAATCATAAATTTTGACAAAAATATGTACCCTTTCTTTCTATACCTGTGATTTTTTTAAAAGGCATGTTGTTTTTTAAACATATCTGCAATCTCATTGACTTCAGTTTCTTTCTGTGATCTAAGCACCGTTTTCAAAATTACCTTATTGTTTTGTCCATTATCTTATTATATTAAAGAGATTTGGGGGAGGGGGTTGACCAATCTAGCCAAATACATTTGACTCCTCTTTTACCGAAGGACTAAATAAGCAATTTCTAACATCAATAGTAATACTGTGCATTAAACTTTTTGAAAATTTAAGTATGAGTCACCCTTTAAAAATGTATCCCATTTTTACACTTACAGTTCTGCTTGTTGGATTTACACTGCATTTGATGCAATTACAGCAGACTAAATCTTAGTACTCTGATATACGACAGTCACTGTCTAATCCTACACATAAGCATGACATACCAAGTCACTGACTTCCATGAAATATTTACTTGGTTGTAGTTCATTCACATCCAAGCCAAAAAGAAACTTACCTTGAAGAACAAGTATATAAACCATTGACAGGACAGGAAAAATAGAAAATGCTTGAGAGTTCATTTTGGTAGGATGCTGTAGCATGTACATCAGAACACAACATCCTCAGAAACATCCCTACAGTAACAGAGCTTCCATAGCATTGCCTAGAAAAGATAAAGGGCTGTTCTATCTTGATTTTAAACTCTTCCTCCTAGGTTCAGTGTAACTTGTCAAAACAGAGAAGCATCGGAGAGTCGGTTCTTCAAAACAGGAGCAACGTGGTTTCAACCACTGTAAGAAATACTCATGCAAATTGTTGGTAAATGTGTTACTCACATGCCTGAGTACAGAAATAGTACCTTGTAAGGCAAATACACACGAGAGCAAAAAATAGAGATCAAAGATAAGAGCTACAAAGAGCAGAGAGATGTGGACGTCCAGTCCATGATTCAGAGTGGGGAACCTGAAGCAAGTGTTGAGTTGGGGTGTAATATTTAATGAGACTTTAGTAATTAAAGTTCTAGCCACAGCAGAGCATTTTTACAGCAAATCCTATACATGTTGGGATACTGCCAGGGAGATAAAGTCCATCATGGCCCCCAAGCCGTCTGCCGGACGATCCATCTACCTCCCGTAGGCACGCAGCGACATGAGTTTCTAGAATCAACAACAAACCTGGCCTTGGCTTTTGGAGCAGCCCCCCTGCATGGCAGTCCACCGGCGTGGGCTTTTGCAGCTTGCCCCCCTGCTCCTGGCCATCAGACTTGCCTTTAGCCTTTGGTGAAGCTGTGCCAGCAAACAAAACTTTGTTTTCCTCTGGCGTGGGCTCTTCACCCTCCCTCTGCTTCTGGCCATCTGCAGGCGTCTGCCTCTGTTTACCTTTGCCCTTCCGGCCTCTGCAAAGGCGATGACCTTGGCTCCCATGAGAAACAGAGCTCTCAGCTGCCGACTCCTTGGCTCCCCTGGAGGCTGGAATGCTGCCTGGGATGACGTGACAGTCAGCTCCCCTGCAGCTTGCAACCGGTGCCCTCGGCATCCCTGCATTCACTCGCATTCTGGGAAACAGCCAGGACCTCCGATGCAGTCAAACTCTGGGCTGGGATGACTGGCAGATGGGCTATCTTCAAAGCATGCCACATATTACGTGCAGTCAGATTGCCAGCAAGCGTCTTTATTTCCTCCAGAGAGACGGACAAGACGATGACGTCTATCGCCTTCGAATTAGCGGCCCTCCATCTATCTGTCAGAGGAACTGGAGGGGCCTCACACACAGTATGCCACACTCCAAACTGACGCAGCAAACTCTCACACCATTTTGCCCAGGTCTGGTAGTTGTGCCGATTTAGCTTTGGGCACTCAGCAGCCTCAGAAGCCTGGAAAAACTCCATTCCAGGTTTCTATTTGAGCCGTGAGTCTTATTCACTTCAGAGACTCCTTATCTTGGCTCCCATTAATCACGAAGCCTTCTGGGCTCGACGCCCAGACCAATTAGGCCTGCCGGACATCAAAGCTCTTGCCGCGGCAAACAGAAAAGCCTCACTTTCGCTTTTCTTCCACATACCTTTCAGCAGTCTGTCGCAGTCTTACTCTCCTGTAAGTGCCGTGAATCTGGGCCCATAACCTGTTGTTGGGATACTGCCAGGGAGATAAAGTCCATCATGGCCCCCAAGCCGCCTGCCGGACGATCCATCTACCTCCCGTAGGCACGCAGCGACATGAGTTTCTAGAAAATATGTTGCCACATTCCAGAGCTCATGCACACTATCAGCAGATAATGCACAGCATGAAGTTGCACCCAGGAGAGCATTATTTACAAGTTTATTCAGCATTGATCAGAACACAGAAAACATGACTGACTGCTTTAGTGTCTGCGACACCAGAGAGAAAAGGAAAGCAACAGAAAACATAAACATCCTGTGAACAGGAAATACGCAGACTCTGACTCACAAAGCCTGCTCCCTTTTAAGGTGGAACGGAAATATCCTAACAATACATGCCTATATAGAAGTAAGTCCCACTGAATTCAATAGGGGTTATTTCTAGGTAAGTAGACATAGCATTGATTATATAGATTCAAACTCCAATAAGCCAGTGCATTGTACCCCTAACTTGTTGACCAAACTGGAATGGTGATGTGTGAAATAGCAACCATATTGAGATAGCTAGAAAATAATGCAATGTACCCAAGAGTAGACTCAAATATTAGTTTTCTAATAAAGTCACTGACTCTGAGCAGACCATTTATTTAATATATATCGAACTCTTCCTTCCACATAACCAAATTCCAGGCAATGTACAGCTATTAAAACATATTCTATTATAAAGCCCTATATGGCTAAGGTCCAAGCTATCTGAATTACCACATTCCCTCATATGAAGCTGCCTGGGTTTTGAGATCTTCAGGGCAGGTCCTTCTCTTGGCTCCCAGACTCTGGAGATTCTTCCTCCCTGGAGAATACAGACTGGCTTCCTCCATGTTGTCCTTCTGCCATCAGGCTTTTGGGAATTGACCGCTTTAATAATGGGGCTGGTGCTGTGCTGTTTCTATTGCAGTTGTTTGTATACCCTATTTTAAACAAGATTTGATTATTTTAACGTTTAATTGTTTTTTAATGACTGCCCCCCTCCCCCAATGTTTCTATGTTTTTAGGGATTTCTTGTTTTTATGTATAAGCTGCCTTGAGTCCTGTCAGGGGGGAAAGGCAAGGTATGTGTAAATAAATAATTAAATATTAAATAAATAAGCAGCAGCAGTAGTAGTAAACAATAACAGTAAGAGGACCATTCAACAAGAACAGGTTAGACAACCCTAATTATGAACAAATTCCTTGATATTCAAATCTTTAAAATACAGACTCCCATACTTCCAGCAATAAACTAACCAGTTGCAATCCTGTACCGAGAATAAGCCTCACTGAACTCAATGGAACTTTTTTCTGAGTAGACATACAGTGGGTTGCACTGTAAATCTAATACTGTGCAAGCACCAGGGCAAACAAGAAAACCTATGAGAAGCGAATAGCTTAAATTAACCTAGGGATATATGAATGATGGTAAGATATGTTTACATGGTTGCCATCTAGAGGCCAGAAGGCAAAAGTGTGGGTTTTTTGAGGAAAAAGTTGGCACTGAGCATGCTCAAGGCCTGTGTTCTTGGGAGCAGTTCCAAGATGGATGCCAGAGTAAAAACTGTATAAAATAAACCAAGAAATAAAAGCAGCTCTAGTTCATCTTATCGCTGTAGCTTGCATTCACTGTTCTGCCCTGCTGTCCACTTTGGCATACTGCTGTGGCTGCCTTCAGAGAAGCCTTTAGCGCTCCCTGGCTTCCTCTTGAAATTGCCCCACTTCTGCCCAAACTGTTGCTGTAGCATTTGCTGACGCAATTGGTTCCTGCTCTGTGTTCATATTATTACAAATGCAGCACTTGCATCTTACTGGCGCTGCTTGGAACAAAATCTAATTTAGCTAAAGCTTAATTCTGACCGTCCCCTGGGGAACCAGCAGTAACTGTGTGTCCGTTACAAATGGAACTTTTTTCCTTACTTCGTTACTCATCGCAAAGAAGTACAGGGCAGGCTGCCATATTTTTCTCAGCATGAAGGGCACCGTGAGGTAGATTCAGGGGTAGATCAGTCTCAATAGCAAAGTAAACATTGAACATCTTGAATACGCTGGACTAAAGCTGAGCCACTAAACACCAGGTACTGAGCTCTTGTGCCTCAACACCGGGATGGGGAATCCTCAATTTAATCTGTTGTACAGCACTAGCTGTTAAAAAATATTGAATTCACACTGTGCACACACGTAGCTATGTGTATTTGGGGTGGGCAGTTGCTCTATGCTTTGGGAGGGGAGCAATGCAGGGCTGGCGTTTTTTTGTTGGCAGCAACAGCTCCCTGTCTTTTTGTGGCTGTATGGTTCAAAATACTCAGGATTAAATATGTCTTGATTCTTTATTGGCCAGGAGGTGTTGGTGCAAATAAAATAACTCTTCAGGAGGGAGCCTCTGAATGCAGAAAGGATTGTGCTACTTATCATGACTGAAAATATTTCACTGGCTCCCAATCTTGGACAGTTCCCTACAGAAACCAATTGAATTCTGTGTTGTGCCTGTGTGACATCTCTTCAGAGCCTGCCCACTTGCTTGGGAAAAGGTCTTGAGAAAACTCAAGCAGGAGCAGTGTCCCAGGAGACATCCAGAGTCGAGAGTCTGTATGTTCTGAATGTGACAAGAGCTTTAAGTTGGAGCATCTGACTTGGTCCTGCACCGGAGGATGCACTCTGGAGAAAAGCTCTTTAAGTATACTGAGAGCTCACATCTCACTCGGCCCCTGAGAATTCACACTGGACAGAAACCATGTGTCATGAGTGTGGGCATAGCTTCAATCAGAGATCCAATCTTACCAAACATTGGAGAATACATGCATGTGCAACATGTGGAAAAATAATCAGCGCCAGCTCCGCCTGTAGTGAAGGATGCACACAGGAGAGAAGCCGTAAAAGTGTCCAGAATGTGGGAAGAGCTTCAGCCAACCATCTCATGTCACTCATCACCAATGGATCCACAGTGGGGAAAAAGCCCTAAATGTGTGTGGAGTGTGGGGAAAGCTTTGAGCAGGGCTCAGATCTCATTAACCATAGAAGAACCCACACTGGTGAGAAACCCTATAGCTGCAACCAGCTATACCTCAGTGGGTATTCCAGCCTCATTAAATGCCAGAGAATTCATACAGGAGAACATTCGTATATGTGTGACGATGCAGGAAATGTTTCTGGTTCCAGCCCAAGCTCCTGCGACATCAGAAACACTATGCTTGACATAATTAAATCTGAATGACAAATGCCCTTGGGTGGTGGGCAAGGGGTGCTCAGGCAGTATACAAAAACTAGAACTGAAACATAATCCAGACAAGGTAGAGTTGATCATGCTGGGTAGCCTAAATACCTAGAAAAGGGATGGAAAAACTCTTTGAAGTACAGTGATACCTCGGGTTAAGTACTTAATTCATTCCGGAGGTCCGTTCTTAACCTGAAACTGTTCTTAATCTGAAGCACCACTTTAGCTAATGGGGCCTCCTGCTGCCGCCGGAGCACGATTTCTGTTCTCATCCTGAAGCAAAGTTCTTAACCTGAAGCACTATTTCTGGGTTAGCAGAGTCTGTAACCTGAAGCGTATTTAACCTGAAGTGTATGTAACTCGAGGTACCACTGTAAAGCTGTTATGTAATGAGCTGAATCCTAGAACAAGAGGACCCAGAATGCAGCAGTCTGATTGGTCCACAGGAGC